GGAACTGGAAGGTGCCAACTACCTACTGGAGAGACAATAATCTGTTCCGGCCACCCAGAGGACAACCACGAGAACACCGAGGGAGTGGCCATCATGATGTCACCAACAGCAACCAAAGCTCTCATACAGTAGGAACCAATCTCCTCCAGGATAATGACAGCCAGGTTCAACTCAAAAGGAAGGAAAGTTACAGTCATTCAATGATATGCGCCTACAAAAATCTCAGAACAAGAGAAGAAGGAGGCGTTCTACAGACAACTACAAGCAATAATGGACAACGTCCCAGATGGCGATATCAAAATCCTGATGGGCGACATGAATGCGAAGCTGGGAGGAGACAACACAGGAAGAGAACTCACTATGGGTTGAGAGGCCCTCGGTGAAATGAACGACAATGGGACCGAAAGCTGCTACCTTGACGTGGTGGTCGGGCTTGAACACCGTAATGATCTATTCAAGCTATACTGGCTGAGACTTATGTCTCTTGAGGTCCTACCATGCCAGGCAGGTTGTTTGGATAGCGGTTAAACAAAAAGCAGCTACCCAATCCAACATCATGATCAATACGAAATCACAAAATTTCATGCCGGATCGGCCGTGGCCCGGATTAACAACGACCGCGCTTCCTGCTCCGTGTCACAGGGCAGGAGTGATAAGTATGCTACTGAGGCACACAAAACAACAAAGAACAAACAAAAACAGGCCGCGTGTGACCGGCCTCAAGCAGTTGTCCCCTGGGCTCTGCGGTCACGCAACCAACTTCCACGGTGTGGGCAGCCGGGAAGTAACAATCGCCCTCACAATCCGAAACGCACGCGAAACCTCTCTATTACTCACTCATCTTTGTTTTCATCTTCATCTCTATCATCTTGCCTTCCTTCCACTGATGCAACTCCTCGACTTGATAGCTCTCCACTTCCTCTCCACTCTGCATCCACTAAAAACGATGGAAGCCAAAAAACCACCACCGACAGCCTCTTAAAGCCGCGCCACCAATTTCATATAGGAGCTTTTAATGTTAGGACACTTTGCCAAATAGGACAACAAGCATCACTAGCCAAGACCCTGGCATCCCGAGCCATTGATGTATGCTGTGTTTCAGAAACACGCATACAAGACCCAAGTGTGGTTATTCACCTAACCCCACCTGGCCAACAGGTTGAATCTGCAAAATTCACCTTGAGGGTGTCAGGAGATGCCACAGCTAGTTCACGAGGATTAGCTGGCGTAGGGATAGCTTTGAGTACTAGGGCAGAAAAGACACTGCTTGACTGGATCCCGGTAGAGAGCTGAATGTGTGCTGTCCGTCTGAACGGGTCAGTAAAAAGGAGAAAGGACTGCACTACTCGCCGATGCCTTTTCGTAATCTCCGCCTACGCCCCCACTGACTGCAGTTCAGATGAAACGAAGGATGAGTTCTACCAAAAGCTGTCTAGTTTGGTGAGAAAGGCTAAACGCTCAGACATAGTCGTTCTAGCTGGTGACTTTAACGCTCAAGTAGGGAAATTGTGTCAATCTGAGAAGGATGTCGGTGGCACCTATGGAGCTCCGTGCCAGCGAACCGACAACGGTGACCGTCTCCTACAGTTCTGCTCTGATAATCATTTGTTTCTTGTAAGCACTAACTTCAAACACAAGGAGAGACACTGTTTGACTTGGAGACCCCCTTCATCAAACCAACGCTGGACACAAATAGACCACATAGCAATAAGCTATCGGTGGCGTGGGTCGGTAGGAGATTGTCGCTCCTTCTGGAACACGTGTGTAGATTCCGACCACACACTGGTCCGCGCTCGGGTGTGCTTACGACTGAACGGACGTAGGAAACAGCCGGCGGTGAAACCATCACGTCCCCACCTCGATCAGGAAACTAAATCCGTATTTGAGGAAGAACTAGCTAAACACATATCTCTGTTCGACAGCTGTGCTCACCCTGAAGAAGCTTGAAAGAATATCCAGGCAGCCATAGATACAGCTGTAAAAGCTGTGAACAAGGTAAACCCAAAGGTGAGTAAAAACCACTGGATCTCCACCGCCTCATCCGAACTGATTGACGCAAGACGACTGATTCCGGCGAGCTCCGATTATGATGAGGAGCGAAAGGTACTCAAACGAAAATAACAAGAAGTCTTCGCAAAGCCCGTGAACAGTGGTCGGCGATAAAAGCGAAAGAGATGGAAAAGGCATCGGAAATTGGTAACACCAGACAACTATTTAGGCTTATCAAGGAAACAGGTGGTAAAAGGCAAATGATAAGTGAAACAATCTGATAAAAATGGTACCGTATTTAGCTCCCAGGATAGACGACTGGAACGCTGGAAAGGACACTATGAGGAGCAGTTTGACTGGCCTACAGCCAAGCTCAACCTGCCGAACATCCAACACCTCCCTGAATGAGATATAGACACAGATCCCCCTTCCTTAACTGAGGTAACTAAAGCTGTCACCAATCTGAAACTAGGCAAAGCAGCGGGACCTGATGGAATAACTGCAGAGGTATTTAAGTACGGTGGAGACAGCTTACTGTCTGCATTAACTGAGGTACTAGGCAGCGTCTGGGAATCAGAAGAAGTCCCATCGGGTTGGTGTAAGTCACTGATTATCCCCATATACGAGAAGGGAGACAAGTCTTCCTGTGATAATCACAGAGGGATTAGCTTGACTAATATATCATCTAAAGTCCTAGGCTCAATAATCATGCGTAGACTAAGTGATGCTCGGGAGGCACAAACACGAGAGAGCCAGGCAGGCTTTAGACCAGGAAGAGGGTGTATTGATCATATCTTCACCCTCCGACAGATTCTAAAACATAGGCATTCCTACTAGCGTCCAACAGTCATTATATTTCTTGACCTAAAGGCAGCATTCGACTCTGTCGATCGAGAAGTTCTCTGGAGATGCTTGGCTGTAAAGGGAATTCCGAGAAAATATATTGCACTGATTAAGGCACTCTACTCGAACTCATGCCATCAGCCAGGTGAGGGCTTACGGCGAGTTGTCATCTGAACTGGTGACGACCAGTGGTGTCCGTCAAGGATGCCCATTATCCCCTTTTCTATTCAACTTCATCATAGATGTGTTAATGGACTTAATCCTAAGTGACTTCAGCGACTCAGGGATTGACTTGCTACCAGGGAATAATCTCGTTGACTTAGAATATGCAGACGATACAGTCCTTCTAGGCGAGGACGCTGACAAAATACAGTCTTCTGAACACCTTGAGCTGCAATCTACGAATGTTTGGCATGCGATTCGCTCCCGCCAACTGCAAGATGATGTTACAGGACTGGACTATATCGACGCCTAGTTTAAAAATAGGGAGTGAAGTGGTTGATGGAGCACGTTGACCGCTTCACTTATTTGGGAAGTACCATCAGCCTCAACGGGTTGATCTCTGACGAAATCTCAGTACGAATACAGGGGGCTCGTTTCGCATATGCCAATTTACGTCGTCTCTGGCGTAGACGTGATATCCGACTATCGACCAAAGGGCGGGTGTAATTCTCATGAGTCAACTCCGTCCTCCTTTATGGCTGTGAGACCTGGCCATTGACAGTGGAAGACATGAAAAGATTAGCTGTCTTTGATCATAGGTGCCTGAGCTCTATCTCCCGTGTGAAGTAGTATAATAAGGTGAGCAATACTGAGGTTAGGCGTCGAGTGCTTGGTAAGGAGAAGAAATCAATCGTCAAGGCTGTGAAATTACACCGACTGAGATGGTTAGGACATGTGTTACGTATGCCAAGCCATCGCCTCCCTCGACGAGCAATGTTAGCGGATATAGGGTCAGGCTGGAAAAAAGCTAGCGGCGGTCAAACAAAAACTTGGCACCAGTCAATGAAATCCACAACAGTTGGTCTAAGCCACGTAGGAAGGTGTAGACTTCCAGGCTGGGGTCCTCGGGACGGTAAAAATCTATGGTTGGAAACAATTGGTGACATGGATCAAAATCGTTCTCAGTGGCGCAGATGCATCCACTCCTTGTGACTTATGGTCTCCAATGAAACTGTTTTGCTCTTCGTTATTACTCCTTTGTCTCACACCTCTGCTCACTGTTTCGATTATGCTTTTCTTGTACTTTCTTCTCTTGCTTCGCGTGCTACATGGAGTGTGGCGACTTGAACTACCGCACATTTGTGCAAAGTTCTATGTCGAAAACAGACAGACAGACAGACTTCTCGGACTTCTGCGCCTTCAGTGATTTGGTGATTGGTGACAGCGTTTTCAAACACAAGGATATACACAAGACGACATGGATTTCACCAAATGGAAACACCAAAAACCAAATAGACTTCATCTCAATTTCAAGAAAGTGAAGACGGAGCCTACTGGACACAAGGTCGAGGAAAGGAGCAGATGTGGGTTCAGACCACTATCTAGTACAAGGGACTTTCAAGGTGAAGCTAAAAGCCTCGAGGATAGCTGGGGATAGGCCACAATGCAAGTTCAACACTCAATTACTGAAGGACACAACCACAAAGGACACTTTCACTGCAACTGTCGGAGCAAAGCAGGAAACACTACGCGACATCACTAAAGAATCATGCGTGGAAGAACATTGGAAGTCTCTGAAGGCGATTTTCAACGAAACGAGTTCAACGGTTCTAGGAAGAAAGAAGAGACAAGACAAGGAATGGCTCTCTACGGACACTTGGAAATTAATAGAAGAGAGGAGAATGGTTAAAGAGAAAATGATTCAATGCAAGGACGGACAGGAGAAGGAGACGCTGAGCTCAACTTACACAGCACTGGACAAAGAAGTGAAGAAGAGTGCCAGGAAGGACAAAAGACGATTCTACGACAACCTCGCCACTGAAGCTGAGAAGGCAGCGGGCACAATAGACCCGAGGACATTATATCAGATAACCAAATCTCTATCCGGGAAGAGATCAACACAAGCGAAACCTGTAAGAGACAGCCAAGGGAACCCAATTACCAAGGAAGAAAAATAGATTAAACAATATATATAAATGTGTTTATTAATGATATATTTCACTCACTTAATCTATTACACTTTAATGTTACACCACAGCACTTTAATTTTTCTAAAAAAGCTTCCAATTCCTTGTAAACGTTGTACTTACCTCAATATTGGTTGATTATCGTATGCCTACAACCACGGGATGAAAACGAAACGAAGTCGATTTTCCCGCTCAACCTGGAGGACAATTGTACAATTCAATAACTATACAGCCTAGTTCAGACAATGTGTATTTTATATATATATCAAATATTTAACTGTTGAGACATTATTAACTTGTAGACAATTTAAGATTTGACATTATATCATCCTTGATCGTGCCTGTAAAAATGGCATGCATTTTCATGTAAATTTATGTTTATATGAAAATAAATTATTATTATTATTATTATAATAGGCGGACCACTTCAAAGGACTCTTGAACCGACCATCACCTGCAACTCGTCCAGAAATACCAACAACAGCACGCACACAACTGCAAGTTGATACCAATCCTCCAACGAGAGCTGAAGTCTTAAATGCAATCAAGCTTCTGAAAGCTGGAAAAGCAGCTGGACCAGATGGAATACCCCCTGAAGCGGGGAAAGCGGACCAAGAGACTACAGCAGACATGCTGACTTCATTATTGCAAAAGGTCTGGGTGGAGGGAAAGGTGCCTACTGACTGGAGGAAAGGTTACCTCGTGAAACTACCAAAGAAGGGAGACTTACGCCTCACTGTGCAAGAACTGGCGAGGAATCATGCTCCTGTCGACGCCAAGTAAAATCCTGAGTCGCATCATCCTGGAGAGAATAAAGGACGCACTGGATACTGAACTCCGACCAGAACAAGCTGGATTCAGGAAAGGCAAATCATGACCAAATTGCAACTCTACGCATCATCATCGAACAAAGCATGGAATGGCAATCAAACCTCTACCTCAACTTTATAGACTTTGTAAAGGCCTTCGACAGCGTTGATCGTGAAGTAATTTGGAAATTACTTGAGTACTACGGCGTGCAGCGCCCAAATATTCATCAACCTTATTCAACAGCTGTGCGACAACGGAACATGTCAAGTGATCCACGACGGAAAACTCAGCGAGGCGTTTGGAGTAAACACGGGAGTCAGGCAAGGGCGCCTGCCTATTATCACCTATGATATTCCTAATTGTGGTGGACTGGATTATGCGTCAGACAGTGGGAAACCCTCGAGAAGACAGGGATATCCTGGACCGACCGACGTGAAGAACCTAGACCTGGATTTCGCGGATGATTTATGTTTGATGTCACACAAAATCGAAGACTTACAAGCGAAAAACGACAAACTGGTCGAAGAAGCAGCAAAGACAGAACTACAAGTGAACATAGACAAGACGGAGGTGATGAAAATAACCAACCATAACCACCAACAACAACAGCAACAACATCCAGCGTCAATCACCATCAACGGGAGGGATTTGAAAGAGGTTACTTCATTCACTTATCTAGGGAGCATTGTCTCAACTACAGGCAGTCAGAACGGACGAGGATGTCAAATCGAGTGAGAATCGGGAAGGCGAGAAACACATTCATCAACCTGAAATCAATCTGGAAATCTTCGTCACTCAGCCAACATCAACAACAAAATCCAGTCGGATTTTCAATACAAACGTCAAATCAGTCAGTTCTTCTATACGGATCAGGAACTTGGCGGGCGGGTCACAAAGAATATTTCCAACAGTCTGTTGCAGACCTTTGTTAACAACTGTCTTCGCTGGATCTATACTGAAGATCAGATGGCCGGGCCGGAGAGAATCACCAACAAGGAACTATGGGAACAAAGCAAGAACCAATGTGGGGCAAACGTCCAGATCACTCAAAATAAGAGTGAATGAACATAAACGCCTAACCAAACGTCAACCAACAGGGACACAAGCTTACAAAGATCTTGAAAAAAATTCATCGATTGCTGCACATGCATGGGACAAAAACCGCATAGCGATTGGAACGTGTGTATTATAAAATCAAACATGAACAGATGGAAAAGACTCATAACAGAATCGATATTCATTAAAGTCACACCGGATACATGTAACAAGGGTGACTCAGAACAACTATCCACAACTTGGAATATAATTCTAAATACAAACACATGAATGAACGTGCAATATAACTGTGAACACACACACACACACAAAACATGAATGAGCAAAAAAATTATAATAATGAATTATATATATGAGTACAAATCATAAATGTGTGAATAAAACAATTCCAACAGTAGTGTGAACACGGGCAGTAATTTTGCTCGAAATATTACCAATAACAAAACTTATAATTGTGTGTAAACTATTGAAATATAATTATACTTTATTTGATCTAATCCACAATGCTCAAACTTTTTACTGATATTAAGTATGGACTAACATGGATGCAGGTGAAAAGTACAGCAGAAGACAGAAGCAAATGGAGACGTGCAGTTGAAGCCCTACCTTCCACTAGGAACCCAAGGGAACAATAATAATATAATGCAACCTTAAAATGCGGCCACATAGGATAACTTCCTTCTCTATGTTCCAAGGAAACCTCCTCGTTTCTCACAGAAGTCCTCGTAGTTAGGTTTCACAAATTTCCATACACAAATTCGTCGAGTTGACAGTAAATCATCGTGTTTCTTGATTCACTCAAGGCTCTGATCCTCCTTTTCAGGTGACTCTAGAAGCTTTCGATGGAATTTGTGTGGGTTCCATAAGAAGGATTGGAGAACTTGTCTGTATTATTAACCACATTAACAGTGTTGTCCGGCGATAACAGTCGGCTACACATTTTCTCCCTTCCAATGAGCCTGTCGTCTAAACAGCACTTAAATACTAAATCTGGATGAGATTTCCCAATCGGACAATTGTGAGCACAAAAAAGGCAGCATTTATGGGGAAACCCCGACAGAAAGTGAGAAACCATTTTCAACGAGGGAAATAGATCGCATATAGGCAACAAAAAGGGGATGAGATTTTTTGAAGTGGGAAATAAAGCGAAAGGGGAAATTATTAGACAATAAGGATGAAATAAGGAATAAAGGAGACATAATGGTGGCGAAACGCGTACCAACAATACGAGAAATAAGATGTGAGTCACATGGATGAAAAGGAAATTAACTTCAATGTCTCCCTGATTTACCTTTACTGTCCATACGGCTTCCCAATTTTGGATTGCTGCATTACTCATGTACACCATCCTTGATCCCACATGTACACTACAGAATCATCTGACTGGCTGCTCAAGTTCAATAATCTGCTCATTAAGTCGCTTCGTTTTAGACTTCCAGCCAGCATTTACCTCAGGCGCACTGCAGACTGTTTCGGGCAGACTGCAGATCACTGTCCTTAGTTCTGGAATGTGTCAGAAGTGGTAACAGTTAAGAATAGACACCAAATTAAGACAACCCCGGACAGCCCATCCAATTCTTCTAGGTGAAAAATGATACTTAATTTATAGAAAAGTGTACATATGATATATATGTAATAAAACTGAATCATACAGAGTATATGTTGCTAATATGTTGGTTTCTGTTATTTACTATTGCCAAAAACACTATTATCGGTGAGTTAACTAACGTTTTACCAAACAATTTTATCACGTTACGGATAACCAACTTTACTCATCCATAGTAACGCATGCCTCAAATATGAGATGCATTTCGGTTCCAATATCCAATATCGTTTTTATGAGCTAGTATAAACCAATTTGATTTCTTTGTGTTCGCTTCTTGATTGTAAGGTATAGGTTCCTGGTCTTCGGTAAACTTCTGCGTAGCTTGTCCCGCCACTCGACTGTCGTAGCTTTGGTTGACTTCAAAGTGAGTAGTGCTGGGATTAATTATATGTGGTTTGTAGTATGAGATATGTTAAGACTGTTACTACTGTGATTGGAGTTGATCCTTTCGCCAGCTAGTCGTTTGGTATTGTCGAGAAGAGAAAAGAGATAGTAATAATAATGTGAGATATAATTAGTGAAGTTATTCAGACTAAGAGACAGAAACGGAAATAGGAAAGCGTAACAACAGTCAGCTCATTAAGTTTGAAGAATAATATATATATCAGTAATAACAATAATAATAGTGATTATAATATTAATAAGTTGTCAGGAGAGTAAGATGGGAGAGAATGTAAAGAATTTCTTCAATGGCAATACCATGTACTGTACTGTGTGCATTGCTTCCACCTGTGTAAAGTGACCTTATAGGTACCAATACATTAGCTTTCGTTATGTATATCTTGTGTAAGTGAACGATTGTAATTTGCTCACTCCTTGTGTCATTTATCCTATTGATTATGCCAGTTAACTGGAGTCCCTCATGTACAAAAAGTGAGAATTTATTATTATAATTAATATCGTGTGCCTAACTGTTGTAACCCATTGAATATAGCTTCCCCTCTCGATGAATTACGAAACTAAGTAATTAGAGGCATTCTGTCTTCGGTAGATTTATGCTTACTTTGTAAGTGACCACGAATAGTAAATCATTTGGAGTGTTGAGGTATTAGGATAAATACCTCTAGACGCTTTCATGGTGACGTGGATATACTTACTTTCTTTGACTAGAAGACGATCCTCTTACCAAGGTCTTCTATGTGTCCAATTCTACTTTGTAATTCAAAGACAACATCAATAATCTTTAAGCCAAGGGTGCTGTTCACAACAAAGTTATACAGGAGAATTGACTTCAAGCTTTTTCCCCAGATATCTGTATCACATTCATCTGATGTCTGGGTTTTTTGCTAATGCAAAGACAATATTTCTATATCTCTTTATGTGCTACACAAACAGACTTTATAGCAGAGTGTTCCGACTGACTCTAATGTCAGAAAGAACAACCAATCTGTAAATTCACCATACATCAAATTATGTGTAATTTATATAACAACTTATCCATGCCCGTACAATTGGTATGTTCCTGCATAAACAGGAATATATATTATTATCTAGGCGATGGAAGCGAAAAGTGGCAACTGATTTTCAACCCAGACAAATGCGACATAGCCCACTACGGAGCCCGGAAGCCAAAAATGTGGCCATATATTTACGGTAAGCTCCCCTCAAAACT